AATGAAACGTTTAGATAGGCAATAGCGAAATAAAATTTAAAACATAAACGTCGTATATCATACCTTTTCTCCCACATCGTCCACGAAGATGCGCCCCACGTTGCCAGGAACATCACCAAATTCGGACATCCACTTCCTTAATCGCTTTGAGCTAGAGGTTGGGGTTAATCCTTGTTCGCGAGCCTTCAACTTGCGAGCCAACTTGAAGGCATCCTGCGGCTTCGGATTGCTATCGCAATCGTCCTTGATAAGCTTGAGAATGCTTGTCTTTTTCGCGCCGGCCTTGCGGAGCTCGTCCACTGTCTCTACAGCACTCTCATCGAGGGACACACGGTTAGACGAGTGGCTTTTGGAAGCGTACTCGTTCAATGTGTGATTGTGCTGAAGGTGGCACTTCATAATCATTAGAGAAAATGTATGGGTAGCTTTATTGATCTCTTGAACGCACACATTGATCTGAAAACAACGAAATATTGCCAGCAGATATTAGCAAATTTGTCCGATCAAACCAGTCAATACCCAATCATATCAGACCATGCCATATTGAACCAGACCATGCCCGAATAAATCTGGCTTCGTCCAATTGATCATGCATCTTTCGCAGCACACCCGACATCTCTATTTGCAGCAGCAACATACCTGAACAGAGCATCCAGAAGCTCCACTCTCCTGACGAGGCCTCTTACTTGTGGCTTGCGATCCGAAATTGCCTTAGTGCGTACACACGTATGTTTTTGCGTACTGGTCCCACTCGTCGGGAATCTTACACGCCTTGGATCCCTGGGCATCTATCCGAGCATTCCGTACTTGAACTGAGGTGTTCGTTCTGGTACGGTAGATCTAATATTGTGTCGATAACATGCCACTCGATTAGCTTAGATAACACTGGTTATAATTTTAAAAACTTTTCGCACTGTTCCTGGAACGACCGAGCTTGGTACTGCGCGAAGTATGCCTCGAATTCTTCCCACGACCTGAACTGCGTCTCCCCCGGAGGCGGAGCGATGACACAGACTGGTCTGGCTTCCTCGCTAGCGCTACTCGGCCCCGTCGTTTTCACACGAGGTGGGCTTAGTGACGGCTCCCACTCACTCAAAGAGCCGCCGGATGCGGCGCCGTCACTAATATCGTCGCTGGCTTCTGCCAACAGGGGGCGCTTTGGAGCGTTTTGTGGGCGCGGCGGCATTTGTGTCCGTTGGCGCCACGAATTTGCTGGAGGGGGAGGATTTTTTGTGTGGGAGGGGTATACGCAGAGTATACGCTGTACCCAATTCGGATATGGAAGATATTAGCAAATCCTAGCAAATCCAAAGATTACACAAGATTTGCTGCGAGTCGGATGCTCCCAGTCTGGCAAAAGACTCACTCTCTTTCAAAAGATGACGCGGACGAAGACACACTCACAGCCATCGAGGGCCTCGCAGGGTTTTCAATGTGAGTATACGCAATCAACGGGGAAGGAGTGGCTATGCGGTAAGCGCCTTTCATACGAGGGCTTCAGGACGCATATCATAGCTCACCTACAAGGAACAGGTAAAGTGTGGAAAAAAGAAATGTATGACGTATATGGATCTTGCGAAGATCGTCTATGCAGGATGGAGCGCTGGCTTCGCATCATTCCTGAGAAAGTTGGCGCTTGCCTCGAAGAAGACGGAGAGAACGACGACGATAGCGCAGTTAGCACGCCTATCTGCGTTACTCCAGCCGAAAGTCCACCCGCGCCTGTCGAGCCTGCTGCTGCCTCGCCACCGCAGACAGCTGACGACCCGCCGTCATCCAACGAGCCATCTGCGGAGAGCGAGCCAGCCGTCTCCAAGCCAGCCGTCGCCGAGCCCCCCAAGAATAAGCGCCGTGTGACCAAGCGAGGTTGCTCAGCGAAGAAGTTTTGTACCTAGTTACGCTGTGCACCTAATCTGGCACACTACGTATCGCTGGCAGGCCGCAAAGATCTTGCCTTTTGTATTGTGATACAGGCCGTGACCCATAACAAAAAAAGCTCGACACATCCTCTGTGTCTTGCTATACGATGCACACCAACCACAATAGTGTGTCAGCAACCACATAAGCAACAACACAAGCAACAATAGGAGCAGCATATCAATCGACCGAGTTTAATCTCATTACCACGCACCAGTAAATGAGTTTAGCGAATGCTGCTTCCATTGTATCTCTCTCCACCACCTTCATGTTAGACTTGTCTCACTTGCAGACTGCACGCCAGTACGTCAGCGCATGAAGCTGACAAAGAAAGGCTTTCGCTTCTGGAGACTCTTTTTCCAGAACACGCCATTTCACAAAATCTTTGTCGATGATTAGTGTTTGGATCAGCTCTTGAACGGTTTCTTGGACAGGCCTGGTTCAGTGCTAACGGCTGCTTGACGCGCCTTGATAATCTTCTCACACGCTTCAAATGTTTTTGTACGACGCCGGGCTCGCTGTTGATTGACAGCACTCGTGCTCGTAGCGGTGTTTGTGAGACTAGTACGGGTGCGCTTGAATGGACGACAATCCTCACCATCTTCTTCAGTGCAAACCGATCTCTCATGCGGTGACTCATGTCGCCTCTTGTGATTAACTCACTCCAGCTCAGCATCGGTTCGAGCGGCCTGAACAAACTAAAGGATATAGTCTACCGAAAACCAAAACCAGGAGCAATATAGTAAGCAACACAATTATTCAAGCAACATACCGTGCGTACTTGCATTCTCGTCGCCATTGTCACTCATATTAGCGCCACCATCGCCGTCCCACCCGCAACCGTGTCGTCGTCACCATCTTGTGCCGAGGACACTGGCGTGCGGGCCTCTGCCGTGTCAGTGGTCGTTACGCCTGCGTCCACAGGAGTATCCGTCACTTCGGCAAACAGACGACCATATTGTAAGCACTAAAACTTAATCATTTATCGCCATTAACAAATACATGCCCATGTTATCTGCGACATCATCCTCATCCTCATTCACCGTGCCAGGCATGACCGCGGCCGCGCCTTCTTCTATTTCCACACCCGACACACGAGAATCGATATCATTTGTAACTCGTTCTCACCAACGTCTGCATCCTTCTTATACGTAGCCTCGCTCTTTTCACCCGCACTCCCTATCGTACCCTCTTCATTCGTTGCTGCGCCCTTCGCGTCCTTCTGGTTCGTGGTCGCGGTGACTCTAGAGTAATCAGGCTTGGTAATGTCGTCATCGCTGATTTCGTCTTTGAGGCTTTTCATGTCTTCCTCCGCATTCGCCACGTCATCCTTCGTCAGAAAGGAGTCATCAACGTAGTCGTCGTCGCTGGAAGAATCCCGAGAAACCCTTGAACAGACCGAACATAGTCCACAGTTTTCCTCTCTCGCAACCAGCGCCCTAATTAGACGCTCCACAACAAAATCGGCTCGTTCGTGTGTTAGCGCAGCTCCTCGGGCTACTCTACCACACGCAGCCTACCCTTAGCATTCGTGCGCGCATGGCTTCCCGCATTCCTGGCTTCGACATTTAGCTGTTCTATTTTCACATGAAATGTGAGGCTCGTGCGCTTCAAATTTGACCAGCAAAAAAAGAATTTTAAAGAATTCGTAAATGTCGCTTTTGAAATTTTAGAGTAAAATAAAAACTACAGCTTACCCAGCAACACAATCGCTGTTGTGTCACTCAGATGGAGTTATCGTCTTGTAGGAAGCGGGATGTGGTAACGACTCTGAGTAGCGTTTTTACAAGCTGAATAGGTGGAGGACCGTTTTGTAAGGTACGATATCTATTTTTTGTATCCATTACGTTACAGTATGGGCAAAACGCAGTTAAAATAAAATACGTGCCAGCAGTACCAAACTTGTCGTTGTCCATAGCTTATTTTCAACCAATGAAACAACCGCATTCATCGCTTTGACCAATTGGGCTAGAGATACAGTATCCCCGGCTATCTTTATTAAAAACACACGTGTACGGCAAATAGCTGCTCATGAATGGTCGTTATCTTCGAGCTTCGCTTTTTCGTTGGACTCGAATCTCTTGGTTTTCTCGTTCAGGAACAGAAATTTCAAATCTGAGCCTAGCTTCAGCCGAAAGAGATGCATCATGGAACTATGAATACTCTATTCTTGCGTCGATCAAGACGGACGCTGAGAGTGCCCAGGGCTCGGAAGAATAAAGGCGTTTTGACTTGGCAAGGTGGATTTATTTAGACAGTGACGTTCAGCGGAGCTAAATCAGCCTTAAGTTGCACCACTAAATGAATAAACAGGAATTTAACACCCCAGTATGCACACTTTTAGGTAACAATACGATTAGCAGACGACCGATGTTTTACTGGTAGAGCTACTCCTTCAGTTGATTGCAACTTGATCATTTTTTAACTGTCATTTTGTGAAGAAAACACGGTAAGAAAACGTGCAAGCGTTTTCTTGGTACGTTGTCGATGTAAACCACCTGTCGTTCTCTTTTCTTGCAAGGGCCAAGTAGCCATTCTTCTTCAACCATTCATTATACTTCTTGAGAAACCGCTTGAAGCCTGACGGAGTCGACCACCGCCCACTATACAACAGAGTTTCCCATTGACGTCGGCATACGTTTTTTTCTCCGCAACTAGTTCCTTAAATCTTCGCTCGAGTATGCCTGCCTCCTTCTTGAGGTACCACGCTTTGAGACGCCTCCATAGCTCGACGGTTCTCTTACTAAGGTGTTTGGATGTATCAACTGTTCTCTTGCTGATACTCTTGGCTTTATCGGCGATCGTCTGGGCAATACCTCGCTCTTCAGTCTCATCCCTGCCGCTGTCGCCTCTACGAGTGTCGATCTCGATGGCATTTTCTACCGCACGGACGTGTGACGTCGACTTGCTAGATAGTACGCGCGGTAGTGGCTTGTTCTTGTCGAATGAAGCGGCCTCACAGCTCGAAACGAAGATGGCCAAAGTCGCAATCAACACCCACAGGAGCAGACGCATTCTGTGCAAGCTGGTTCGTGGGAGTGTCAAAGCCTTGTTGGTGGTATGGGTGGATTCCAAAATGACCAGTAATTACTGTAACAGCTTTGTATTCAGTCGTACAGACTGAAAACACCGTACTACGGGGTCTCTATACGGGCACACCTACCCAATCTCAAGAAAGGAGTGTTAGCCAATGAAACCACAGAAATCCGAGATCAGGATAATCGTTCTCAAACAGAAACGCTGATCTACCGGCTCTTCAGATTCTGGGATGTTGGCAAATTATTCATTCACTTGGCGTTTGTAAGCAACCAGAGGGTGCGGCTTATCTGCTATACAAAATCGGATGCTTTTCAATACAATTTCCATTGGATGGAAATCGATACTTCTGTATGTATTATGCAAAGCATATGGTATTAGAACTACTATGGTTATCACCACGATGTCGTGAGTCACGCTTCGACTAGAAAAGACGCGCTGTAACGTTTAGCCCTTCGTGGTGGCACTTGTTAATCAGCGCAGCCAATTGATCCACTTCCAGCAATTTCCTAGCACCATTGTTGAACTCAACCGCCCAGTTATAGACACCTCTTGGCCCAATACAATTTTGCCAATCCACAACTCGGCCAGGTACATTTCTCAACGTGATTTTTCCTTCGGTGTCTTCAACTGGAAGTTGTTTGGTCACGTTCCACCCAATTGGAAAGGATGGTTTTTGAACAAATTGTTTTTCCAGTTTTCCTACAGTCGTCCTTGCTCAGACAATTTGTTCTTTTCGCTGACTCACACTCTGTTTCCGAACAGGCATGTGAGCGGTTGCTGTTTGCAGGTCATATTGCTTCATCAGGGCAAGTGTTGCAATAACGTGCGTACATGGCTGTATTCAGATGTATCAGCACTGTGTAGCGCTGTAACAGCAGCATCTTCTGTAAAATGGGTTGGGATAAACCGGAATGAACTATGTGCGACGTTAGAAGAATCACCCTCAGGCGGCAAGACCTCTGGATCTTGTCCATCGTCGCTCATGACTGCGGATCAGCGTCTGTTGGCGAATGCGCCGTCTCGTGTCATACCAGGATGTCTAAAAATATCAATATGTTGTAACACACACAGCTGTAATATAAATAAACGGGACAGAGTACATCAATACCACCTTTTAGCTATTGAAAAGCATCCTTTTTTTAGAGGTGTTGAATTCAATCTTTTTTTGTATTGAAAATAATCTCTTTCCGCAACCAGATACAGCTACAATCACAAATCTTGATGTTAAAAAGTGGTTTCCTTAGTGAAAACAAGATGAAACTGGATGTCAGCTATCCGGCTAGTTACTGGAGCTGCCTTTTCACCACCACCAAAAACGCGTTGCTATAAAATGTGAACATCGTGAATGTTTTTCGTAAAGTTACTTGTACAATTCGGAACTTGAATCTCTGGTGATAAACTAACTATTAAAGTACGAGAGAAACTAGCCTTGAGCTACTTGACGCCTTTAGATGTTGTGCTACATGCAGTAGATGAGTCTAATGCTGTCGATACAGGTACTGTATATGAGACTGCGTCAAACAAAATGTTACTTATGAACCTAAGTACGAATCGCGATTTAAGCACTCTAAACGAAAGCGGGGCGTCTCTTCTATCTTTTGAGCCCTTATAAGCTGCAGAATGCTTAAAACGGAAGAAGTTGTGGTCGCTCAAAAATATTATCTTCATTTATGGGCCCTCGAAATGACGATACATTTAGGAGTGTTGTGAGCTCAATATTTTTCAATTTTAGAGATTTAAGTGTTATTTAAGAGCTCGTGTTAAAAGCAATTGAATAAGGGTGGTTTTACAGTTTTTTTCGATGGAAGCTTACAATAAATGTCACTGTTTCTCATAAGTGCGAAAATCAATTGGCCAACTTTAAGCCCGATTATCTCGATAAGTCTCAAAGGTTCATAAGTAACATTTTGTTTGACGCAGTCTCATATGTTTGGTGTACCGGTATATTAAACTTAAATATATGTGCCGCCTATGTTCTTGTCTTTCAAATCACTGCCTCCTCTATTGTCATTTAGTCACCAGAGCGCCCTTTGAGAAAGGAATGTCTGTTGGAGGGATGATTTGCGCAGAGTTGTTAGGGCAGTACAGTATGGAGTGAGGACACAAGGAGAGTGGTCTATGCGGCCATAGTGGAGAGGAAGTCTTGAGTGTAGAAGGAGAAGACGCTTGTGGTGGACTTGGTAAAAGGAGAAAGGATGAATTACAGAGTCTGCCTACTTCAACAATGTGGTAGTAAATTCGTCTGGTCGTACAATATTAAAGGCAGCTGATCATCAGGTCGTGTAACAAAAAACTACCTTGATTCTAAATTACTGTGTCTAGTGGTGTGGATAACGACACGTAGGAAAACCACATGTTTGACTTTCTGTCATCCGTAATCATGCCTGTCACGCTTTTCCGGACAAATCATTGGACAAAATTATTCTAAAACTACTGCTGGCTGCCGAGCCCAAACTGCAACCCTGCGTCCCTATGGGCCCGCCTCAGCCAACCTACCATGCGAGTAGTGAAGTGAGCCCGTGGCGAGCGGAGCGGAGGCAAAACACAAGGAACGACATTCATTCTTACCCGCCGCGTAGCGGCGGCACTCGGCTATCAAGGCTGTCCACACCCGATGATATAATTATTCAGTACATATGCAGTCGGAGATCCTGGAAATATCTCCTACGATACCTCTGCAATCGGATTCTACGTTTGGGTTTACCACGTGTAAAAATCCCCGCAAAATGACTTTTGCTTACGTGGTTTACTGTTCTTGGCACCTACACCTAATAAGCTCGTATGAAATAGTAGTAGTAATAGTAGTAATAGTAGTAGTAATATTTTTACAAAGTTTTATTTGAACGAGAAATGTATGCACTCGTTTTTAGCTATCGGTATATTCACGACGACTTACCAAAATCTGAATTTGGTCTCCGAATGCCCGCCACGAGTCATGACCACCTGTAGACGTAACAGTCGGCTTCGTGAAGATCAATGTATGCTTTCTGAGGTATGGATTCACTGATTGAGGCAGGGGTCCGCAAAATGGTTGTGGACTATTGATGGAGAGAGCAAAATCTCAGCTCCATTCATTATGGGCACATAGTCCATAATGGAGAAACCCCATAATCCCTGATCTGCACTATATACACAATAGAGAGTGCGATGAGGAGACATCATCGACGATTACCTATAGATGTACATTTTCAATGCACTGTTATTGGTAGGTCATATGCTATATTATTACGCTGTTGCGAGACACTAAAACCAACTGGAAATAGAGCTTTGCACCTTTCACTTGAGCTTTGTATTGACCACTACGATTATCGTCCCATTTTTCGCTATTCCATACATATAAATTATGGCCATACTTATATTGAATTTTTACGTAGAGGTGTGGGTTTTACGCATTTCATAGTGAGCTCTACTGTCTTTGTAGCTGTCCCGTACTGTATCGCGCATTTACCGAGAGGCCTGCTACTCGTGTAGCCTGAGATGTGCCGCCCGATCCACTGACACCTCTCCGAATGGATGAGAGCTATTGTAACAGGCTAGGAATCCGCCGCTTAGATGTCAAATCGACGCATTAAACTGTTGTGGTGGCGCTGAAAACCCGTCACAAAGATACTCTGACAGTGCGTTGGGTCATATACGTGCCACTCAGGATGCCTATCATCGCCTTTTGTGTGGGATCCTGTCCACACTTGGGCCTCGCTGTCCTGCGCGTACATTTTCATTGAAGCATCGTCCAGATCTGTATATCTCCAAACCGTATACGATATTTATTGTTACCTCTATTTACGAGAAGTTTAAGCATTAAGTATGCCTCACCCGCATTGTACAAGCTCTGCCCAAGTCAATTCACAGGCATGAACACGTCGAAGCAACTTGAGACCACAAACGAACTCGTTGCATTTCCCCACAACTGCAACAGGTAAAAGAACGATGTGTTGTGGATGCCAGACAGACTGATAATAGCCTAGCTGCGTCGATCGATCAGCTCCAAGAACCAGCGATAAATACACTAGCGGATCGCTCATAAGGACTGCATTCATAAACGCCACATTGCCTCTACGTCAGGCGGACGTCGATGAAGACTTTTCAAGTGGTGCTGAATAAATCGACACGAGTCAAAGATTTTCCCCGATAAACGTGCTCGTTGTCGTATCTCTTCGTCCGCAAGATACTTACATGGAGTAGAGCTTGTAGCAGCGAGCACCCGTGCACGACCATGCCGTTTCCAACAAAGTAATCGAGACCTAATGGGATACCGGGTGACGATACTGGTTCTGCTGTACGGTTTTGAGCAGTGCTGGGTCTCGATGTCGGGTATCTCGAATACAATAAAAGGTGCTTGGCCACTGGAAACACACACTCACAACAGGCCACAATGTTCCAGCAGAATATGGTACTGGCGAAGGAGGCAGCACAAACCAATGTGTGTCTGATCGCTTGCCTTTATTGCACCGAAGTACCCATAATTGGGACCAAATAACGTGTACACCCCATAGCGCTGAGACTAGAAACAGTAAGCAGGCAAGGAGCTTCAAATCGATGACTACTCCACCCAGCACGACGCCACCCTGCCGGAAGTTGTACTGATACCTCGCAGCTTCCCCATCTCCGAACCGCAAATATTCCGAAACTCTCATTTATTTTTAAAGGAACTAAGCCGCCCCCAAAAAATGTCCCAACGGTAATGAAAAATTTACGCCACACTTGAGAACGCGCTAAATAAAAATTCCGGAAACGCCCAGTCACTCCAATTACTCCCACATCGTATTGTGAAGCTGTCTGTTTGAGGTAACCCATGAAAACTACCATATACCATGCTAGTGCGTAGATCCATACACTACGCATCTGTACGACTGCGTACGTGACAAAAGACTCGGGTTTGATATCGAGAGCTCCTGGCTTGAGAGAAGAAATGAGCTTTCAAGAACATTGTAAGTTGAATGGAGTATCTTAGTAAATGAGCCAGATCGTAGCACAAAAACTGGGAAAGGAACTCCCCGTACACAACCACACTGCGTCGGTACTTTTCATGAATAAATCTCGAGCTTTTCCTAAACGAATCCCAGATCGAGATTTGCTTTGGTGTAACATACATAAAATAGCAGCTTAGCATTAAGCCAATTTCCACGAAACCAGAAGTACAATTGCCCTATTGAGCGTAGTGCAGCTACGAGTCCATACCATTGAGTGACATCAGATATCAACAACCCAGTTTCGTAGCGATAATCTTTCACAAAGACCGTCTCATAGTCAGAGGAGGTACAGTCTCGAGCTCGGATGATAGTACTAACATCGGATCTTCGAAATCCTGTAAAAGAGAGCCCACCACGACACACTTGCACGTACTCTTTACTCTCTAGAAACGTCAAATCCACTGTCATATTTGGGAACCGCGCTTGATCATCACGTAAGCGTGTCATCGTGTGAACGTTCAATAACCCCGCAGCTCTACTGCTAGTATCCAAAGGAGCACAAGAGCGATTGAGATTTGTCCATAATTCTTGACAAAAATGTGGGGTATGCGCACGACCTCCGTTAATAGGGAAGCAGATATCACGAGCGCTTATGGAGTTCAACAGATCAGGCGAGTAATACAGAGCGGAGTTGGTACGCCAATTAAAATTGTTGAACCAGTTCGAAAGTAAAAACTGATGGAGTCGATCGATATATTCGCTTTCGTCCGTAGAGTGAACGCCATCGGCCCGGATTTCAATAATACTAATTTCTTACGTGTTTTGTGGATGTTCGCGACCCCGTTGACAATCCCGTCGATCATTCGGAACACGACGTCGCCATTCAAAGTGAGCTCAGGACACTGCGCAGTGTAGAAAATGCAGTCGGGGTAGTCGGAGATTCCAAAATATCTGGCAAAAACACGCCAAGTAATCGACGTCGAATCATACTTGTAAGTCCAGACATTCGCTTTGAGTTTCCCACTGTAAGCTTCTGCTTTCGTAGCTGCAAAGACGGAATAGTTCCATGAAGTTCCGAACCCCATCACTTCGTCGGGATGAAGCACTGGGTAATTTGATTCCAACTTCTGTACGCCGAGTCCACCACGAAAGATGTCGAAAAACACCAGCATCAAAGACACAAGGCCCATCAAGAAGCGTGACCACGAGAACGGCAGGTTCCGTTCAAATAGTTTTTCACGGGCTGCAAGTTGGCGAAGGTGTGTTTTGGCAATGAGAGCCGCTGGAGTGCATTGCAACATCCTGGTCCTCTGTCTGTTTCTTCGATCCAAATAGCTCGATAACCATCGTGATAATACGGCAAACGCTCGATCGATATCAGCACTCGTTACATCTGAAGCCACCTGGGCGCTAGTCATACTAAAGCACCGCCACGCAAATAATCGACCTGCAGCTGGCAGTGAAGTTGAGAGCTAATTTCATCTGGGTCGAAAACGGCCGCTTTAATTAATGGTTATGGTGCTTCGAGTGGATTTTTATCGCCAACGTCGGCTTTAGTCTAAGAATACCCTCTATCCTTCAGGTATTACTTGCCCAAGATGGTATCAAGTATTTTCATCAATTCAATGGTGGAGTTTGTGTCATTCATAGCTTTGGCGAAGCGGAGCTGTGGTATATCAATGTGTTAGTTCTTTCTTAAAAAGAAAACGTTTTTGTATCCTAACATGTTTTCTTATTCGCAGTAGAAGTTTTTATTGACTCTGTTAATGGATGACATTCTATCATTCCAAAAACGTCGACTGAATCACAAGTACATGTACATGTAGTAGCATTAGGAGACTTTAGTCTACCACCTTCGTCGAACGAGCAGTTTGACAGTGTGTAGATTGGAGTTTATGTAGCACTTGATTTCGGGGGTCACAGCTGTCTTGTAAGTGAGAGGTGACAAAAACTTACTCCTACTCTTGATGGGGAGATGCCTGGTCATGCCAATTGAAACCCACAACCGCGAATTGAACCAACAACGGTATCGAGCAGTTGAATTCATCAATCTTTAGAGTCTGTGGACTTCCTAAACAGCCCTCATCACTTAGCGAAACCTTCATTATCTGGAAGCCAGCACAGAATGGCCGCAGTTCTAGAGGGCGATATCCCCGCCATGGCGCAGTGGTACGTGGAGGTGCAGCGACATGTCCTAGAATTGAATTGATCGTTTAATATCCACCGTTCATACTCTGAGCGTATCGTTGGTACCGACGTATGCGGGATCTCCAAGAATAATTTATTTAATATCTCTCGTCACTGTCGACACACAGCCGTCATGGGACGAAGATCGAGATCAACAATGACGCCTTCCGCGCCCGGGTCCAGTTTCCTGTACATCGCCCGTGACTCTTGCATGACTTGTCCTTCGTTGATCCCCAGGACGTCTTGTTCTTCGACACCACAGTAATAAACACTCCTCTTTTCTGCATCCACTTGAGCCTGACTGCAAGAGAACAACACCGGCTGTCCGAACTGTTCTGTCACTTTGTGTACCCTCCCAAATCGACTACCAGTTGCATGGACATCAGCCATCGGCGCCTTCTTGAGCGTCCCAGAGAACAAGTGCAAGTCATCTAAATAAATATCCACGTCTTTCACTCCACGCTCTGGCGTCTTGCTGTAATTCCAGAGTTTAATCATCGACAACACGACGGGGGTATCAAAACCGATATAAACGATATTCCCCTGTGGATTCCCAATTGAACTAGCCAATGGAGCGAGCCAGGCGTCATGAGCCTCCCACGTGTTCTTATCGAGCCCACTTACAAGATTATCTGGTATTCGTGTATCTTGTTGCCTTGAATTGTCAATTTCCGATACAGAATATGGCACGGCAGTGAGAATTTTAGGTTTTTCAATAATTCGAGTTCCAGAAAAGTCGTAGAGTTCAAGTCCGTTGAGTCCGAGATAGTAGGGATCCCCCCACGTAGTCCAGCAGATTATCTTAAGTAAAAACCCTTGAGGATACAGCGATGCCTCGTAGTCTTGTCGGATGATTGGAGTCTTGTACGCTCGCGTAATAAATGGATACTGCACTCGCTCGAAGTATGAAGAGGATTTACTCGATGAATTACCGTCTGAGAATACCAGTAATTGACCGAATTCGAAGTCAGCCACTCCCGGAGCTTTACGCAGCAGAAATCCGGTTTCTTTCGGAGAGATTATCACGCCGTCCAGCGTCACAACGAGCTGCTTGACGCCACGGTACGTGTCTTCAGGGGGCTTGTTGTAGTTCCAGACTCGAAGTCCATAGAAATACTGCACCGACTTGAGCTCGATACGAACTTCTGGAATACTTGGAGCTTCATACGGAACTAGCCACATATGCGTGTCATCACATGTTGTAGCCACACCATCAACTAACTAAGCACAAATAAAAAGTCACTTAAAAATAAAAAAAAAATATGGTGCAAGACACCTCACCTTATCCAGAGTACGTGGATCGCCAATGTATCCCAGCTGTACGAAAAAATCGATGACTTTGGAATACATAGACTTAAGACTTCTTAACGCAACTTACCGAAGCCAAATCTCGCGGTTTTGCCTCCCAAATTGGTTGATAATTCGTAGGAAGGAGGCGCTTCTGGGTGACCCAACCGCATCTTCAACTTGCGTCCATCCCTGATGTAATTCCTATCGCCCCATGTACTGTGCAACTGCAGTGTAAGTCGTCGACCTCGAGGCAGATTTTCATCATTGACAAGTCCATCGTTGCTGGCTCCCAACGCTGACACTTTAGCAGCATCCGGAGACATCTGCTGCGGTTCTTCAGCCACCCACGAGTCAATCGAAGTCTTCACGGTTGTATCTCTACTTGCTAGCGGTCGGCTTGCCATCGTCATGGGTCTACCATATCTCAGTACATGATCTTCATCGTTGCTTTCCACTGTCCTAGACCCAGTATCAGAAGTCCGCGGACGTTGAAGCTCCATGGATCGATGTAAATTATCCACAATCTCCTGGGCTTCTTCATCTTCACGTTTTTGTTCCTTTGCCAGTCTTCGCAATGCGTCATCATTCGCCTCAATAGCCTCAAGGATGGCTGCGTCTTGGGTGAATAAAATCACCTCATTGGACAGTTCCAAGCTATCTGCACCGACGAGACCTGGCGCCTGGCGGATTTCTCCTTCAAAAATCAAATTTCCAGTACGGAATTTTATCGTAAAAAACGATCCGCACCTCTCGAACACCTCGACATGTGTGTGTCCGTGACTTGTTATAGTTCCAGATACGTATCATCGACACGGAGACGGTAGCCTCCAGACCCAGTAGCACGTAATGAGGCTGGCCGGGCGTAAATGGAGCGAGCCACATGTGGAAATCATCGCAAGTTAGGTTCACTCCGTCCACCAGATTTCTAGGAACACGAGAGTCGTCCGTGTTCTCTTCTAACACGTTGATGCTCTCGGGACGAGCTGTAACTTGCGTCTCTGGATCTTTAAATTTAAGAAGTTCGCCCAGGTGATTGAAGATCTCGATGCCATTGAGACCCACGTAGTAGGGATCACCCCACGTACTGAGAATCTCAAGTTGTAGCCATTTCCCTTTTGGAAGCACTGGGATATCTGCCACTGGTTCTTGACGTTCAACAGCTTTAAAACCTTCTCGATTGTCGGGTTTTATACTGTCTGGGTTATTCGGTGACGCACTCATAAGGCTGGAAGGACCTTGCCGTAACGCAGTCAAAAGTGCAGACGTCGTAAACGACGTACGACTCGCAGATGGACTGGCGTCGTAGCTTTCCTGTTGGTCGGTATCAGTAGGCTGTGCAAGGCGACTTCGATTTGTCTTACTGAATTTTTCCAGACTATCCCAGGACGATAAAGACGCGAGAGCAGGAGCTGTTACAAGAGGCTTCTGCGCTTTAATGACGGGACTCGAGCACATTATTTCTACACGATCATCGCTTGTAGAAGCCTCTTTCGCATCCCTTGAAGTACTTTGAGTACTGTAGAGCGGCTTCCCCTGTCGTCGACGACTGGTTGTACTGCCATTGGATGGTTTCTCGTCTGCAGTCCACGTATCAAGCTCACTAGATCGACTTGTAGCTGGTAATCGCTGGGTTAACAGTGACGAAGGAGTCGATCCAGATAGCCACAGTGGAGTTCCACTGACTGACTTCGCAGCGTTTGTCTCGTCCACTCGAGTTGTTAGGTGTCGCTCGGACGATACAGAGCTCTTCTCATTACGAGATGTACGCGAAGTCTTCTTTGCCGAGCCCAGTAAGTCAATCCACGTGCAGATATTGTCGTCCTCGTCACCAAAAGTTTCAGGAAGAGAGCCCGTCCACACCGTTTTGCCACTCACTAACACTTCGACGTCCCGAGTACAAGCAATGTGCGATCTCTTTGCAATAAAATATTAAAAAAATATTAGTTTTAAGAACCACCTCATAATGAATAAAAAGTTACGCACACTGTTAAAATTCCATACGCAAAGTTTACTGGGGCTGGAAGGAACCTGGAAGCGGATGACGAGAACTCCTGCAAAAAATTGTCAGACAATTTGTCAAAAAATTATAATAAGAAGTGAAATTTGTTACCTGCATCTCCGAATCGTCCAAGCCACATCTCCTTCTCCTTGTTGGTCTGCGCAACACCGTTAAATAATCTCTGCAGTCCACGGACCATGTCATTTGTCTTCGGTAGCGGTCTACCCGTTGGTTGATCGTGAAGCTGCAGAGTCTCCAAGTCTACAGAAAGGTCATCGCCATTGAGGTCATAGACGCAGATCTGAGTGAGCCCCACCGCTCGTGTTCGACCCCATGTCGACAGCAACTTTACGTGAATATCAAAAGTAGCACCGGTCTCGAGATTCGACGTCAAAGACAAATTGAGACGTGGCACTAATGACACGGATTTTGAGTCGCCTTGAGCTGAAATTTCCCCTTGTTCCGGAGCTGTCGATGTATTCTTGGCGTCAGCATATAAGTCACCATCCCCCTGCGGAGATTCTCTGCGCTTTTTTGTCTCTCCTTGGATTGTTAAATCAGTGTGTTCGTCTACTTTAGCCACACTTTCAGTGGGTTCAACAGCACTAGTCTCGTCCTGCAGTGCTCGTAGTTTTGCGAGACGTTCCTGTCGTTTGACTTCCATGAGTCTTTCGATCTCACGCTCTTCATCCTCTAATTGTTTCATCATTTTCGCACGACGCTCGGCTGCTTCGTTCAGTACACGATGCTTCTCTTCTCGCTCATGAAAAAGACGTTCCTTGATTTCTTTTTCGTACTCATTTTCTAGCTGTAATTGCTGTTCGATCATTTTATTCACTGGAGCCACGGAAGCGGCCGATACAGCTTCGGAAAATTCGCTATCTCGCTCGTTTGGTAGTGGTTTGGGCGTATTTAGTGTCGCTGAAATCTCCTTCCAAATTTCAGGATCGCCAATCGAACTTTGTAAAACTTTCACGTCATTTTCATTCTGTTCCCCACTCTGAAACTTTTGCAATACATCGACCAATGCTCGTTGCTTAGACCGTGAAAGATGTTGAATAATCGCAAAAAGCTCTTTAGTTGTCTTGGAGAGATCGACTTGTTCAATTTGTGTATCCATCTCACGCTCGTCTTCTTCGATTACCAGCTCCTCCAAGCATCCACGTGTGTGTTCCTTCTCGTCTTCTTCTTCAAACTCCTCGAATGACTCCTCCAAATAACTGTCTTCTTCACCTTCTCCATCTTTCTCCTCAATCTTCTCTTCATGTGTCGTAAGACGGAAGAGTGGCATTCCGTCTTCGTGTTTAACAGCGACGTCCATCGGAGCTTTAGGGCGACTCCACTTGGCTCTACGCACTGCATTCTTCTCCTTCTCTTCGCTTCCGGACGCAACATAGTTTAACGTCGTGGACGGTGCTGATTTGCATTTAGAGAGCTTTCCTGGTAGTTTTGTGGGTAGAATCGTCGTGGCCGACCTGGTGTTTCTTGAGCTTAAAGAGGACGACGAAGTGGACTGTGCAGCTCGTGTTGGGACGTTAAACGCCGTTACGAAAGCTTCTTCGCGTTCGTGAAGACGGTCGTTCTTCTTTGAGGCGGCAGCTAGGCGCTTCTTCACTCGGTTCCTCTCCTCGAGTACTTTTATATACTGAAGCTGCTTTGTGAGGACGGGATCTGCTTTAGCCTCGAGGGCGGAGGAGCTACTGGAAGGATGAAAGTCCTGCTGCTTGTCCCATCGCTTCCGCTCCGCCATCTTCTCGTTAGCAGATGTACAAGATCGTTTGGAGACCGACCTTTAGAGACGCTCTAATGATGCAAAGCGACCCACTATAATCATTTTCACACATTTAGAGCCGTTTCGTGGCTCCCGTTCGGACAGTCCATGCATTGCTGATCGCGGTACATGTACCGGTATTGAGACGGGAAGATTCCCTTGCCACAAACATTCGCGCATGATCTACATGCATTCCGATGGACTTCATTCACAAATTTGCATACGTCAAGCAGCATCTTCATTTCTTGCATCTCCGGCGTGTCGTCCGCTTCAACTCCCAGATCTATTGCTCAAGATGAAGTTTCTCAAGTCTCTGTTCGATAAGAAGTCTCGCAACGGCGCCGATCGTGCAGGTGGTGCCGTGGTGACTAGAAAGCTGCCTCCCATCGACTTAACACGGACGACTCATCCTATCACGAGCGCTGGCAACGGGGAGAAGAAACCCAGAGTCGGGAACCTCACGCTGTACATGCTGCTGTCCGATATTTGATTCCGAGAAGCATCAATAAACTGTGATTCTTTTTAATTTGTTGCATAAATAACTCAACTCTGTGCTAAGAAATTATAACCAAGCCAAAATGGCTACATACACAAAAGAACTTGGCAGAACGAGATCAGCTTTGTTGTGTCATACAGCTGTTCGAGGCCCATGTTAGACTGGCGATCCCTTGTCCTGTAGTTGGCAAGCATTCAGGCTTGGTCATAATCACTTCAAGCATTTGTTGATGCGTCGATGCACTCGGGATTCTCTCTGCTTTGCTCCCTTCAAAGCAGCGGCTCGAATGGATGAGTCGTTGTTCATTTTCCAATCTGCACTGCAAGCACCCCCCCCCCCGTTTCATCTCCCCACGCAAGCTCACCGTCATTATGAGTGCACAGCCAGCTTTCAATGGACCGTGGGGCAATGGCCCCAGACCCACAAAGGAGCAGATTGACCGCTGGACGGACAAGAAGTGCGTAATTCTTTGCTCTGTGTAATGTATGACTATCTCTAACTGAGCGTCCTGACTATTCCAGCTCGGCCAAGTGCCTCGAATACGTCAAACGACACGCAGAGCGCGACGAGGAGATCCGCAAGAAAAAGCCAGTCGTGATGGCAGAACTGGGCGCTTACACTGGCTACAGTACCGTGAGGTCGTCGGCAAGGAGTCGCATTACTACTCGTTTGAATACTCGCCAGTATTTGCTGCTCGCGCTCGTGAGATGGTGGAGATTGCGGGGCTAGTGAATCAAGTGACGGTGTATGTTGGGGCATTCTCAGAGCAGTATCAAGTGCTGCGTGGCAAGATCGTCGACGTGTCTGCACCTGTCGCAGTACTTCGCTAACAGTGTTTTTTTTGTGTGTAGTTGTACTTCATCGACCACGAGAAGACGGTCTATTTGTCCGATCTAAAGCTAATTATCGGCAGTCAAACGTTGGCTCCCGGCTCTGTTATCGCTGCAGACAACGTGGTGAGACCTGGTGCGCCCGACTACCTCGAGTTTATTGAGAACAACCCTCAATTCTCGACTGAGCGTCACACGATCAACTGTGGACGTGACGGCCTATTGCTGCCAGACCTTTCCATCGCCACATTCTTAGGATAATGGTATCCACAACCTTTAGGATGTGGGTTCCAAGTACTTTTCTATTTGTTTTATAGTACTTTCATCAATTCATTTTTTTGCCATGTCATGGGATCTGGAACATAATTGATCTGTTATTTGGACCTGGTGAGCATGTACAAATACTGGTCGACGATTCTGTCGGCATTGAAGATATGCGGGGAAGCTAGCGTGTCCAGATGGACAGCGTCGAACCCGAATAGCTTTTTCGCCTTGATAAAGAACGATAAATCGTGCTCTTCGTGGCCTGGGACGTGGTGGGCAAAACTAACAAATACCTGTTAAGACACAGCAAATTTCGATCACAACAATGCGATTCAAATAGAGAAGAACATGTCGCACCTTTCCTCCAGGTGACAGACACGCGTCGATTGATTTCAGCAAGTCTTCATGCTTGGTAAGCCAACAAATAAATAAGACCATCTTCAAATTTCAAGTCAGCGCTTTACACTTACCAGGTTATGCAGCCATAGACACTCTGCAACAACTGCCACTTCAAATCGACGAGTCGTCTGGAGTTTCAGACTCTTTTTGCTCGTCCAACACGGCAGACGGGGGAGCATCCAGACATTTCAGCAACGCAGCTGTGTCACTGCCCCAGAGATGTCCCCGTACGTCACGTCTCCCAGTCCCCAATAAATGTGCGTTACGCTTGATATTCGTTTCAATGTTTTTCAACAATAAGTCGTTTGGGTAATCTGCAAAAGACCACTCCAATACGTGAATAAATTTTAAAACACTGTAATGAATCCCCTCTTACCTGTCATAACAGCCAGCTTTGCACCGAAATGGAGTGCCACAAGCGACGGCAGCGCCCTGTAGAATAATTAACAATGATCGTCTGTAAGTTCCCTCGAATCTTACGTTGCTTTCACTGAAAAACCCACGAAGCTGCGCCGAATTCCACGACCCTCCGACCCTCCACCAGCTTGGGATGTTTGGCGAAGTGCATGGCGATGAATCTCTGGACAGCGAAATGTAGCATTGGATTGGTAGATTAAGTTGCAATGTTGTTCTTCGCACTTGAGCTGCAGTAGAAACGCACCGCTCCGTTCCAGACAGCGCAAGCGAAGAGCGAGCCGGGGATGCCACCGTCATCGTCCGCTACTGAGATACGAAAGTGCGGCGTCGAGCTCCCCACGTCCAGCTCCTGCACAAAGTCTTCTGGGTTGTAGCCATTGTCTTCTCCGTTCTGCAAGAACAGCGTGCCAACGACGTTGTCCTCGACCTCCATCATGTGTTCTCAAATTGGATTTTTGTTTTTTTGGGTTTTGGGTATACTGAACGACCCACCTCCCATCATTTTGTACATGGGAAATATCTCACATTCAGGCGAAAAGTGGGCAGATTTGAACTCTCTCAAATGCGCTTGTTTCGCTAAGGTGTTCTAACGTGATAACAGTATAACATATAAGCATAGTGAGGTGGTTCTGACGTCTTAGGTCCCAGTAATAGTCAGGTTGTGGCTGTCAAATTCTACCGCCCAACGGTACTTTTATCGCTTTATTTCTTAACCCCTTCGTTACGAGACCAAATCTTGAATGCACAGACTATTTTTCACATGCTTGATATCAAGCATGTTAAAAAAAGTATTAACGTAGAATTTGTATAGAAAAAAAAAGATCGGTGTCTGTATATTTGTACAAGATCCTGCAATCGTACGTATTATGAACCCACATGCTTTATATCGAGCAGGGTGAGTAAAATCCGTAAAGCCCATACGCGACATCATGCATGTGCAAATGGCTCTTTTATTGGGAATGAATCGTTTTTGACGGAGTCAAGTGCAGAACGGCTACGAAAGCAAATTTGTGTATTGCATCTGCTTGCTAAAAGCAAGTTATTTGGGCTATTACCTACGCAGTTTCACTGTTTCCTGCTCTTGCTGCTGTCTGTCGTCACCACCAGTTTCCGTTGTCTCGTTCTGCTCACAATCAGAATGTTCACCACCATCACTTCCCTCATTGCCGAGGCCTGCGGCCTCCTCCTCATCCCCTCCTCTTCACGACCCTCTTGTCCTTCCGCCCGCTTTTTTGGTGGGGCCCTCAGCTGGATACCGCGGCCGTGGCGCGGCTGTGGGCGCTCGCTTCCATTGCGCCAAAGTTAGTGCCAAATGGAGAAGCAAGTCTGGTTGTTATTGGAGTAATGTCCTTGGCGCACCTTGTCACACAAGTAGACACTGCATTATACGTGTTAGATAGGAGTAGTAAGAAACATAGAGCATAGCAACGTACCGTTTTGAGCCTTTACTGCAGCCAGGACAGTAGAATCGCGTCACCTGCCGCTGTGTACTGCTTGTTTTCCGTATAGTACATACCTTGCACTGCCGTTGACGTCGCTTTCGAATTCCATTCACCTCCACCCACTCGTCGTCCATTTTTAGCTGGTGGGTGGACGGTGGAGCGTCGCCATGCAGTGGTGTAACTGGTCTAGGTGAGTACATCTTTGGACACATACAGTAATCGTTAGCAAGGAGAAAACCAAGCAGAATAAGCACCTTACTTACCGTGTTTGCTAATTCGGCTGACCCCACTTGTAGTAGCTGGGCTTGCAACTGAGCGATGAAACCGGTTAGTTTGAATGGTCCCCACAGAATAGATGTTCCTCTCAAGAAGTTGTAGCGAGCTTTGTATCTATTATATTAGATAAATCAGACCCTTCTACGATGCGCCAATTGTCAATGATGCCCTTCCAGCGTTCGACCTCCTCCTTACTTCGTGGAGGTCGCTGTCCCCCGCGACGGTTTGTTGTAGAAGCTGCGACTACTGCAGGTGTAGAACTCGGTGAATCATCAGTTGGAGGCGCATCTAGTGACAGTTCATCACTCGTCTCCGTGTCGCTCTCGCTTGGAATCTCAGCATCCACAACATCTTCAAGATTGTCCATGTCCTCGTATTATTCTGCTGACCCAGTGTCTGAAACATCGTAATCCGAATCCAACGCACCACCATCATAGATGTCATCATCGTGACGGGAATCTTGACGGGAATAGAGAGGAGGCGGGGTTGTGGGAATAACACTAGCCATATCCAGTGACCTTGCAAAACCAACAATAATATATAGCATGTTGTCAAAATAAATCTCGCACATGCTTAATATCCATCATGTGACAGCGTACCTGGCAGCCGAAGACCGAGGTGGCGTTAGCGGTGAAGTCTGTTGCGCAGAGGAAGCACCTTCCGATGTCGACATGGCTCCACGATTTGCCTGCGTGGTGTCTGTTGCACATGGCGGAGATGGCGACGTTTCGCTATAGTCCAAATCCCCACCAACAGACGCATCGCTACAAACAATTACGATCATGAAGTGTGAGATACACATCGTACGCAAAACGCATAATCTCCTCACCTGACGGCTTCGTCACCAGCAGCAACGTGTGGGTTCGTTGTACGCGCAGATTTGTCAGCTCTTGATCTCTTCGATGGTGCGTGCTTACGCTTACCTATTGCTTTGGCCTTGCCAGGCGCCTTTGCCGGTCTTTTCTTCTTCGCCGCCTTCTTCGGTGTCGTGATCTCTGGCGCTGTCGCCATGTCAAACTCGACGTCGTCATTTCCTTGGTCTTCTCCTGTTTCCACGTAATCTTCGTCTCCGCTGTCACTCCCATCCTCATCAGCAGAAGCAGCATCGGTAGCAAGCTCCTCTGCATGCAATGCTGCGACTGGCGCCTTCCCTTTCAATCGCGGCGCTCTTGCCAACAAATTGTAGTATTCCACTAGTGCGCCCTTCTTCTGGTACGTAGCTGGAGCAGGAGGCTTGCGTGAGGCCACTGTCTTCCTAGGCCGCCTTCCTGTCGTTGCTGACGTGGGAGCTGAAACAAGCGCTTCACCCGCAACGTCGTCACCAAAGTCAGCATCGCGGTCACGCGTACCGTCGACATACGCGCGGTGCTCTTCAAGCAGCCGGGCGCGTTCTGCGCCTTCCTTCCCGTCGAGACGACGCAGGAACGCCTCCGCTTCAGCGCGCGTGACGCGGCGGGGAGGCATCTTGGTCCCGCGTTTCGTTTTGGAGAATGTATGGATGGCTCAGAGGCTTCTCGTTTGAAGCACTGTCTTTACGACAGCGTATCTCCAAGGAACTTTCTCTTTACAGTTAGGACCCCAAGCCCTGTGCATTGGGGACTAAAGGGACTTAACGCCCATTCTATGACGATCCCCACATGCTTGATTATCAAGCATGTGGGAAATGTCACATGTTTACTTATCAAGCCTTAGTCCCGGAGGGGTTAAAAAGTAAAATAAAAATCAAATTTGTTCCGTTTTGTGTGAAATCAATACAGCAACAAAAATCTTTGTGGTGTACTGTACCCAAACTACGGTACCCTGATTGTCGGGGTTTTGTAGACAGCTTGTCAACAACCGAACAAAAAGGGAGAGCCTTCATGCATTTAGAGCGTGTGTTCGGCAGCATGTCATGCAGTGAAGAAGCTGTTTAATGTTTAGTTTGGTACTTACGATAAAGAGGACATAAATCTGCGTCTATTAATGCAAATTTTAGATACTGAGTCTTATCTTTTCGTTTGGTCAATATGTTTCTGATATGGTAGAGTAAAATTCCCAATATATCCGCCGCAAGTTATCTAAGGAGACAAGGACGTCCTGTAGTCGTATTTTTTTTGATTGAGTGTTGTATCTATTTATAATTCGTGACAAACAACCTCTGCATCAATACCCAATTTTGGGCGACCTCCGAAAATCCTGCCTGGTTTGTGGTTTGTGCACACCGATTTGTTCCGTACCATAATCAAGCTCTGGTTTTAACCGTGTGTCGACTTAATCTGTTTGTTTTTTTCTTAATAAGCGCACTTACTTCATTCCGCAATTGTTCTCACCGTACTCAACTAATCGGTTTCAATCCCAGAAAGAATAATATGCGATGCGCATTCATCTCCATCTCCACTTAAACCATTGTCCTGCTCGGGAAAGGCAACGCTCTTCCGGACGAGGTGGTATCCTCGGAGGGGTTTTCGTCTGTTCATCACTTTGCTGGAATCCTAAAGAGGTCGCTCCGTATTTATGAAGAAGAAAGAGGCGACAATATCTCTAGGAAGTCCGAGACGGCCAAAATGAAAACGAAATGGCTGCGCGACGTGACTGTGTATGGCGAGATTCTTGAAAAACCCGGCCTCCACACAGCTTTCGGAATGTGGAAACAATTTGGGCATCCCGAAGACAAAATCTCGCGTGCGATGAAAAAGCTTGGCAAAACTCCAAGATGGAAAAAAGTGAATTTAAACTAGAGCGATCCTGTTTTACCGTGTAAACACGAAGACGGTATTAATACCTAAATGCAATAAAACAACGCTACAAGCAGCTGCAAGCACAAGAACGAGCGGGGACTGGCAGCACTTTGCGCATTAAAGCAACAATACACATAAACCAGCACTATCGCTAATGATTTTGCAGCGAGGAAGAATTTGCCAGCATATGAAAGTCAAGTTAAGGGCCTGTTTGGATCCACCGCATTTTTTATCACAAACTGTTGACAGTTCGCAAACTCATCCTGCTAGCCGAAAATCGCGTTTGGCACCACACGACAAAAATCGCAAAGGCCAAAAGATCGTGATCGCTGCCTTCTTTGCAATCCAGTGGTTGCAAACGAGCGGTGACCTTTCAGATTTTGAGTGAAGAAGACTCTGTCGCTCAGCTAGAGGATGCATCTGACGACGATGAAGACATCGTCCGTGTATTAGCTCTCGTCGCCGGATACAATGGGCACACCTACTTTCACAAGCAGCCTCTCCACAACTCCATCCTGACGGGAAACGATTGGGTGGCAGAGCTTATTGAAGAAAAAAAAAACCGACACGCATGTTCCAAAGCTACCGCATGACAAAGCCCGTGTTCAGACCCTTTTGCGCTTTTCTTGACAATGCGGATCGATAGACACCCTGGTCCCGTGTCAGTGTAGAGGAGAGGGTAGCTATCTTCCTTTACAGTATCGCAAAGAGCGCCTCGAACAGCGATCTTCAAGAGCGCTTTCAACATAGCGGAGAAACTATTCATCGGTGAGTTTTCAAATTGTTGTTACGTCCGTGCTTTGGCTAACGCTTTGGTGTCACTTAAACAGGCATTTTTACCGTGTTCTTGATGTTGTCTGTAACATGGCAAGTATGTATCTCGTCCAACCAGCCACTCCGTCACAGCTGCTATAGAACGAACGAACATATGTTGGCCAGTTCGATCAATGCCGCCTTGCCTTTGGTGGCACGCACATCCCTGCCTACGTACCCAGCGAAAAAGCGAAGCCATTTCGTGATAGGACTGGTAAACTCAATCTGAACGTGTTTGCTGTGTTTACATTCGACATGCAGTTCGTCTACGTGCTGTCAGGTTGGGAAGGTAGATATAATATTTTCCTATCTTACACTTAGCGCATGAGCTAATAAACTCTATACAGGTTCTGCAGCAGATTCGACGGTGCTTGCTGACGCAAGGCGTAAGGGATTTAAGACCCCGCCGGGCTTGTTTGACCTCGGTGATGTTGGATACGGTCTAACCACAGAGGTTATGACTCCATGTCGTGGTGTTCGTTATCATTCGAAGGAGTAGGGACAAACAGAAGAAAGGTGAGTCTAATGTTTTTTTTTAATCTGCTAAAATGCTAACGCTAGGTTGTGCAGGCCTCATAACTATAAAGAATTGTATAATCTAAGACACGCGCAAGCTCGCAATGTCATCGAGGGGCTTTTGGCGTGTTGAAGCAGAGATTTCCTATCTTGAAGCAAGCGCCAGAATATTCGGTAGATACGCAGGCAAAAATTGTTCGAGCTTGCTGTGTTCTCCACAATTTTATTAGGCTTCAGGAGGATTTACCTGATGACCCAGAAGGCGAGCTGGAAGAAGAAGATTCCGACGATAAACGTCCTGATACCTACAACCATGAGAGTAATACCACTCGAAATTTTCGGCGAGCGAGTAATCTTCGTGAGCTACTAGCTAAGACCATGTGCGATTCGTATGTAGCTTTTCAGCGTTAATGAATTAACATGCAGCAATGAGTTCGTGCTCTTGGCGCCTAGCTCTTACTGAGCATTTTGAAGTTGCTTATTCAACCATGCATCCCGGGCTGGTCCGGCCTCCATTACCAAAATTCCCCTTGCCTTTTTTTCGTCCAGCATCACGTCGAAAGCTCGAACAAGATTTTCCGTTTGTAGGTCGTTGGCGTAGTCCTTCTGCAGCAACTTGATGGCACGCTGCAATGGTGACAGAGCTCGCATCTTAGTAGTTCTATGGCGCAATTCCGTAGCAACCTCACTAATTGCTTCGGCAATTAGTACACTCCCGCTTTCGTTGCGTCTTTTCTTGGCACCTTCACTGCTTACTGCCTTGTGGGTAGCAGCAATTATTGGTTCTGGTGCAGGCTCCGGTTGCATGGCTGAATCTGAGCTTGTAGCTTCGTCAATAGCTACAGGCCCAGAAGATGTTGGTGCTTGCGTTAGTTGCTGAGAAGATGGGCATGTAGCAATGTCTCCTGGGCAGGGTTCTTCGGAGGCTAATGCATACTCTCCGGTAGCATATGTTCCCTTAAAGAGGTCACGAAGGTCGTCAAACAATGACATGGCCTTCCTGCGGTAATCAACAACTTTTGGATGGCTCTGTCCACAGTGAAGCATTAGTCAAAGGCGGTTTGTCAATGGTTGTAGTGCGCAATAGTTGTACCTTGACATAATCATCCCAAACAGAGTCATGCACTAGCACGACATGACGTTCATCATCCCAGCCAAATCTTGACCCGTCCAGCATCGCCTTGATCGACGTATAGATGCCTTTCAGCTGTAGTTTAGCGAACGTATCATATTCAGAGCCTGTAAAGGAAAGCGCTGTAAACGATTTACGTACCGCTGTCAGTCTGGACTTGATCTGCTGCCTCGACATCTTCGTCCGAAACGGGTGTTGAACGCAGCTAGTGCCTCGGTCCACGCTTCCTTCTTGAAGCCGCTGTCAGCACTCTTCCCTGCTTGCGCTTGCTGCGTCATGGCATCTACCAGGGAGGCATCTTTCGCGCTGTCCCAAGACGCGCGCTCTTGGTCTTTAGACGCCATGTTTTGGCGCCCCTACGAGGGAACATTGCGATAAAAGTTTCTGGTCAGAGTAGCAAGTTTGAAATCGCGATCTTTTGTCTAAATCACGATCTTTTGTGCGGTGTATGGAAGCGCCATGTTAGTCCCAAAAATTGCAAATTACAGATGTAATTTGATTATGAAGATCGCGGTCCTATTTGGAAGCACATTAAATCACGATCACTCGAAAATCGCGATTTAGGGCCCTAAATCGTGATCTAGTTTTGGATCTAAACACCGCCTAAGATAGTGTAACATCGACGTAAAAACCATTCTCTGTCCAGCATAGTTCGATCACTTCAATATGGCACCGAACCGGACAACTGCCTCCATTCACTTTCTGTTGTTTAAAAGGTCCGGTACCCATGTCCATCTGAACTTGGATAGATTCAGTCATTGAATGATTGAGCCCCTCAATGGCCTTAGCAATCACGCTGGTCTAGTTTTCTTAAGGTTAGAACATACTGTTGTTTCAAATACTCAAAGATTGCCGCAGTAGTACTAACTGTAAATTGATCAAGACGTCGAGCTAAAGTCAACTCCTGGTTTAGCGTCCTATTGGCTCACGAGCAATTCATATCCAGAAAATGACTGGTCATATCTGCCGTGGGCTATTAAACACTTAGTATACCCGCTGAGCTACGGAATTCCATGCTAGGAACTGCGCGCAACGTGTAGTGATGTAAACACACTTGAACGTTGACCGAACGATATATGTTACCCGAACGTCGTTTTGTCATGATTCAACGTGACGTCACCAGCCTACGTCACTGGTTTGACGTTACCCACAAGTTCAACACATGTAGCCAACAGCTAGCTAAATGACATAGTGTCCAATTCATTCCGTTTTTACTTTGCCTCACCACGCGAAGAGCGACAGCTCAGATCAACGACTCTTCGATTCAAATATCACGGTAATGTGTTTATCCCCTTCAGCTGTGTACCTCTCTAACGTGAATGGATACAGCCAGGTTTGGTCATGTGGGGACAGCTAACTGACGCGTCCTGTTAGCTTTGAACAACGGCAGAAACGTTGGGAAGCCCAGATCAACAATGAACACTTCGAGAATTCTCTCAAGAGCGCATCGCCGTTTTAGGGTTTACTTTTTACACTGGAGACTTTCGATCGGGAGACTCTTCAGGTCGATAGCGCGTGCATTGAAAGATTTATAACGAATGGCAAAAAGTAGTGCTTGTTCTTAGTGATAAATTTTGGGGCTTTGAATTATCTGAAATTTATTTCACAGGGGGGTCAATTATCGTAAAATAAAAACCTGGGTATTTATAAGAAAATGCATAAATAAATGAAGGGTATTATGGAAACAATACCATGCGTCTGATTATCCCCCGTATTTAAATGTTGGATATGACAACATTTACATAAAAAGAACGCTCTACGTGAGATGCACAGGTGTAGGGAAAATATTCACCACAAAAAACGAACAAAAATTACAAAGATAGCTTAGGCAGAAAAGCCATATTGTTGCTAAGTACGAATAGATATGTGGCTCCGAGAAAAAGAAAAACGATTATGGCGCCGCGACGGGAGACGCGCCGCGAGGCTGAAGCGTTCCGAGCGCACCTTGAGGAAAGGAGTACTGCCGACAGGCACCGCCTGCTAGCAGAGCACCATGCATTTCTGAGTGATGAGAGGCAAAACGACGGAGACGGGACGAGGAACACGAGCGCTGAGCGGCCGGAGCGCGTACCCGCGTCAGGAATACATCTCCCTCCTACGGGAAAGACCGTCGCATACATTGAGGCCGCAAAGCAGCGCATGGCGGACCGCCCGGCTGAAAAGGCCGCGGCGAAGAAGAATACAGCTGCAAAGAATAAGGGCGGCCGTTCCAGCAAGACCAAGACATCCACGCCGAAGAGGTATGTAGAGTTCATGAAGTATATACTGCTTATGTGAACTGATCTGATGCTGTATGCATACTCTTTTATCCTAGCCCGGGCAAAAAGAAGATATCGAAGCGACAGAAATCTGCCCTGACTCGAAAAAAAGCGAAGGAGCGGGAACGCGCTGCGCTAAAGGAACGACGAGGAGCCGACTCACGCAAACGCGCTCTTGCTGATCTGAAACGAAAAAGATCAGCGGAGCCTGCTGGCTTGTCGGAGACGATGACTGGTACGTGTGCAAAAAAAAACGCAAAAATAGCGACACGACAAGGTTAGCAATACGATCATGCAGCATATACTACTTGTGTTGACTAACATAATGTTGTATTTTCTGTGTGCATTTCAAGTTGCAGGTTCTCGTCTCAGTGCCGGGTCATTCTCCGATGAGAACCTCCAGTCCTCATGTGGTGAATACCACCGCGGAAGAAGATGACTTGAGCACCCCTGATGAGTCGTCGGTGGGCCTACCTGGAAGCAGGCTGCTACAGCGCAAGTCCGGGCTCCTGACTCTCCAGATGGGTACATGGCTATATCATGATGTATGTAGCACATATTTGAAAACGATTATGTTGTATATTAACGCATTATTATGTAAATTGGTTTAGAAAGAGCACTGTCGCATCGGCCAAGCACGGACCAGATGAGGCCTCGCGCACGGTCGCGACTTTGGACGACGAGGCACTGAATTCTGATCTTGATGGAGGGGACGGTGCTGACCTTGATGAGTGGTATATCGAAACGGAGACGGGGACGAATTTAAACTGTCATTGATGCGACTGCATCGCTAACACAGAGGGTGTTTTTGAAGAACCTGAAGAAAAGCCTGACCAAACACCTTCAGAGGAAAGTGATTGATCTTTGGATGGAGCTGTTCTAATGGTGCGGCAGAAGAAGAGATAAAAGAAAAAGGTAGAACGAGAGCGATTAGCGGAGGCGAAGTCAAAGCTGACGCGTGACTGGGGGTTAAGTAACCGCCAACTGGGATATCATGGACAACAACGAATTGAAAGTGTTGGCTCTGGACGGTGACGCGCTGAAGAAAATGCGTGGAGATGGGTCGGTAAAGGTGAGGATGTGTCCAGGGACGAAGTGTTGCTCGGTGAAACAAGAAGACACGAGCAATTTAAGGCGGATGAAGTATTACACTGTATTGGACTATTGGTGGCGAGAATGCTTTACTCTCATAAACGACGATTCGCTGATCACTGGGCGAAGACTGCTATTGGTGCTATCCCGAAAGAGACGTTAGGGCAGTACATGTCGAAGGCGCGTTTCGACAGGATAATGCGGAGCCTGCACTTTACGGACAGCGCCGATTTGAGAGCGGAGACGGATCGAGCCTGGATGGTGCGATCTGTGGTGGACACGCTGCAGCAGATCTTCGGCAGCGGGTACCACATCTCGCCTGTCATCTCGTTTGATGAAGCCATGATCCCGTCACGAAGCCGCCACAACCTGACCCGCCCGTTTATGAAAGGTAAGCCCCACAAGTGGGGTACGAAGGTCTTCATGACGTGCTGCGCAGAAACCGCGTATTGTCTTCGGTAAGTATCAGCGCTCTCCTGTGAAGGAGAGCTTTTTTATGGCTAAGTTCTACATGTCATAGTCTTATTTTCTAATATTTATTTATGCTGTATATACGCCATGGCAGACTTGAAGTATTTTGTGGAACTGATCAGCACACCGATGAGCTTGGTGGTGAGGCTCCAACGCTGTTCTCTGCTGACCCAAATTCTGGACCGAGCGCAGTCATGAGGAACCTGACCAAAGGCCTTCCCCGTAAAGAGGAAGGCATCTATCATGCAGTCATCACTGATCGGTTCTACACGTCGGTTTAACTTGCGTTACAACTGCTGACAAGAAAAGTGTACACCGTCGGCTTCATACAAACGAACAAGAAGGGCTTCCCCGCAGCGCTCGTTACAAACACTGTTGCACCACCGACAGGAACGGCCAGGGTCGGCGCTACCGTCGCAGTTGCCAAATGCTGCCCTAAACTGCAAGCTATGATGTGGTGGGATCAAATGCCCGTGTATCTATTATCTACTGGTGGCAGTAGCGCTGTTGAAGCGTGCAATCATCACATCCCAGGAGGACGGAGAATATCAGTACTGTGCCCGTCCGCGATGCGAAATTATCACCGCTGGATGGGCGGGGTAGACATCCACGACCAGCTGAGGATGCAGCGATATTCGCTGCAATTAGCGGTGCAGTTCCGCAAGTAATACCAAACGTTTTTCTAGGTTTGGTTGACATGGCAATTACTAATGCCTTCATCGTCTATCGCAAGGCCAAGAGACAAAGTGCGGGGCAGACTGCGGATCATGCCGAGCTCCTCAAAGTGCTTCACGACCAGCTTCTCCAAGTCACTGCTGCCGATTTGGTCAATGAGGTATATACGACATGTTTGTGGGGAAGATGCTGCTCATGTAGTATTTTGGCTAACGTTTTTTTCTTTATTGTGCAGGGGCATCCTGACTAACCACGAAGAGACACATCTTCATCTAAGGAAGGGCACGTGCTAGTCAAGTTTCTAGAATGAAAACAAGCCGACGAATGCTTTCGAAAGCGCCCCCAGCATCAAAGCAAAGTTTGCTCTATTCGAAAAAAAAAGTGGGGGAGAGGAGCGCTACCCGCTTCTACTGTGAGCAATGCAGTGACGGTGAGAAACGGTAAGCACCACACTAGTAATTGATTGCTCGATTTGTATTGATATGTTTATGTGTATGTGCTGTGCAGGGTGTATCTATGTTATAAAGTACTACCCCAACAACAAGTACACATGCTTCCAGATTTGGCATGACTTGTGGAAGAACGGCGAGGAGCGCCCTCCTCCGCTCGTTGGCAGAGGCTGCCAAATGCGCCCGCTCGGCAAACCACGAAGCCATTCGCTAGAGCGTGACGAGGAAGAAGAGAAAATGAGCAGGAGGAGGAGAAGGAGGAAGTGGAGGGAGAGGAGTAGGAGGAAAGCGACAAAGGCCCAGGCGTGGTGCAAGGCCGCCAGACGGCGGTGATTTAGGAGATGCGGTGACCCACCAAGTATAACGCTCATTTGATTGCTAACCGGTTTTGGTCAAATGAAGTTCATAGCATCTTTTCTACATTTTGCAATAAATGTTTACCTTTACAAACTCAGGTAAAACCGCTCGTGGTTTGCTCTATTCTAATAAAAGCTGCGGAAATCATGCTGCATATACTCCCTGGCCAGTTCGTGTAGCCCTTCGGGTGATGGGTTCAGCTACATATATAAATATAGATGTGTCAAAATTATAGGTAGCTTCCCGCAGTACACAGACGTTGGTCGTACTTATTGTAGGCTTTACTAAAATCTAATACGCCCTTTTCTTACATGTTGTAAACAGCTTTATCATGGCGTATATTATTCATTACCGGTACTCGAAAATACCGTAAGTGCGGGGGGGGGCTAATAAATTTTATTATCAGACACAGGTATAGCTCGTAAAGTATTACGTTAAGGATACATGTGTCGTCGTCATCGCGCTTAAGTTTGCTTATTTTACTATGGAAGGTTGCACGAAGAAACACGTATGGGAACAGACTTTAGTCCCTGTCAGAATAATCGACACAAGTCGTCCTGGATGAGGTAGGATCCCCGTAGGAGTCACTATGTTCCCCAGGAAAGCGACTTGGCTACGACCCCAGTGATACTTTTTGATCTTCAACTTGAGACCGGCTTGACGGAACCTCGTGAGCACTTGCCTCACACGCACTAAATGAGTCGGAAAGTCCTTGCTGAAGATTACACAGTCATCCAGGTAGCCTAAGCAAATACCACTTTAAGTCCACTAAGACTGTCTCCATCAACCGATCAAACACGGGTACAGCGTTACAAAGACCAAAACGCATCAATATCCACTCGTACAGACCATACTTGAACGTAAAAACCGGTTTATGTATACTAGCCTTGTCCATGGGAGCATTCCAGTGGCTAGACGCAATGTCCATATTCGAAAACAATTTTGCATTCCCTAGTACGTCGAGGATATCATCGAACAAAGGCATGAGATAACAATCTTTCACGGTCACCGCGTTCAGCCTTCGGTAGTCGATACAAAACCTGATTCATCCGTCCGGCTTGCTTATCATCAGAACCGGACTAGCCCACGGCCTGTTCAAAGGACGAATGAGTTTGTTCTCCAAGTACTGCAGAATTTCAGCCTCCATCACTTCTCCCTCAGCTAATGACACACGGTACGGCTGCTGCTTGATCGGGGGACCATTACTCGTGTCGAGCTCAAAGTACAGCATCTCCGTTCGACCAGGCTTCGTCGATGACTCCACAAACATATCGTAGAAGCCGTTCAGCTCTGACCGGAACCTTCCGATGATGAACGGAAGTCGCGGCTAGCACTTTTAGCTTCAGCCGAACATTCAAGCGTCTCGTAGAACCACTTCAGTCAGTACTCAGGTCAGTTCAACCTACTCGCACTGGGCTCACTCACTCACTCTTGTACTTCCTCAGGTACTCCCAAGTACTTCGCTATGTCCTCCAATGACGGATCTTTAGTAGCTTCTGGTTCACCTTCATCTAAAGCTTGAGTTCCAGCCTAACCGCTCTTCCAGCTCCTTGTCGTACTCTTCCTTCTCTGTAGCTACGTCTACTTTAACTGTTTCTTCTTCACCGGGGCCACCTATTTCCATCGCTTCTATTTCCAGGTCCGAAAAGAGACGAGAGTACGTAGCCTCCGGAGTTCCGTCGGCCTTATTCAAGTCACAGACGACCTCATCAAGGTCAGGGACGGACGCAGCTTCTCCCTCGACCGCCTCTTCGACTACTTCTTACACTACCCCTTGACGACCGTTTTCTCGGGGTCATCCTTCAGCGTCCAAGCAGCGAACACAGTCTCCCCCACTCCAATTTCCGCGTCTTCTGATGGCCTCCAGCCAGCAGCCGGAGCCCACAGTTGCTTCAGCGCAGACTTAAGAGGAGGTTCCGCATCCAAACGGGGTTTATGACGCAGTCGAGGGAACGAGACTCCTTGGTTCTGGCTCGTCGGCTCAGTCCTCACGGCGAATGTAGTAGACAACGCTTAAGTGAGACCCTTCTCCGTCCACACGGAGTTTTTCTTTAGTCACCGCGACCGCACAATCCGTACTATCGTTCTCTGCAGTGACATCCTCGTCTGCTCCACAGGCTCAAACACCTGCTCTGCCATCGTTTCCGCAACGAACATTTCAGTAGTCCCACAAACCTTCGTAATCTTCCGCTTTACGACGAATCTCTCAGCGTCTGCAGCGGTCTCGACCGTATCACTGTCTGTAGGTATTCCACGATCTACCACAGCATGCACAGCCGTCACATCGTCGCCCCATCCCTCTCCGGCTTCCTCAACCTCGTCTACCTCGACGGCAGCAGGCGTTCTCCTTCTTGCTCGGCCCCACCACCGTCTCTTGAGCCATCACCTAGATTAGAGGAAGGAATGGCTCCCCCTTGTCTCTCCTGTCGCCCCCTCATCGACGAGAAGCAGGTTGACTCGGCATCTGCCCAGAGCTGGCATCCGGCGGCACCATCGAGCGCAGAGTTCCGATCAGAGAACATCCGGCTATGTTATGACGAGAATCGCTGCAGAATTAACATCCCGGGACGGTCGAGGACCGTACCCTTCCCCCCCCCGCCTTGATTACCACTGTAGGTTCTACGAGCTTTGCACTTGACCTGGACATGGCCCAAATCACCGCAATTTTTGCACGTCGTGGTCGCTTGTTTGCCTTTGACACGACCATGGCCATGGAAGTTTCAACGGCCACAAACAGGAGCCCCATCCTGGGTTCGACTGAATCACACATCCGAATGCCGCGCGTTCGAAGGCCTTCCGGCTAGGGTTGTCCGTTAGTGGCAGGAACGGTTGTCGGGACAGCAGACAGCACACGACTACGGTCACGAGGGGACTGAGGTGCGCTCCATTAATTCTGCGCCAATTGTTGCTGCCACTATTGCTGCTGCTGCATAAAACTCTTCATATGTTGTGCCAACGCATCCACGGAGGCCGACATAGGCGTGTCCCGGTCCTTCTTAGATAAAGCTTCGTCCGAGAATTCGTCGCTTCCTCAAGAGGACGGTGCATATCCTTGAACATCAGCCACTCACACGCTTCAGGAATGTCCGAGGCAGGGCTTGCATCCAGGGTCGCCAGCATGCGTTTGTTCCTCAGACAACGGCGAAACAACTGGCAACGCATCTGAGGATTCGGGTAGCAAAACGACTCACACAGCTCGGACACTCAGTCGACCTATTCCTCCCCAGACTCACCTTTCTCACGTCTTGTAATCTCGAGCCGTTCCCACAGTTCGTCGGCCGTACGTCTTAGGAACTGGTTATGGAACCGAACCTTCAGTGTGGAGAACGTTCGAATGCTCGAGTTGCCCCACCATCGCTCAGCTTCTCGACCTTTCAGCCTCTGTCGAAACACCAACAACCTGGGCCGGTCGGGAAGGCCCTCCGTGTGAGCCTCAAAGAGCCCCCAGAAATCACGTGCCTTCTCAGCCGTAGCCGTGTTCAAGTAGAACACCGGCACCACCATCATGGCGTTCGAAACCGACTGCAACAGCTGAAACGGATCGGCCGTCCTCAGGGCTGGGAACGGAGACATCACACTCTGTCGAGTGTCGAGTCACAGAGTGAGCGGGAACCGTTCGACTGGGCGCTGGCCCACCATTTTTCGTCACAGTAGTAGCCCTGCTTGCAGGCATCGTACTCACTCTCTGAACCGGTGGCCTAGTGGGTACTCGGCATTATACTAGACGAAGAAGTCGCAAAACTAACACCGCTAGGGCGAGGGCGACTCACCGACCTCGTAGGCACCGGGGTCTCGTCAGCCATTTCCGGACCGTAGCCACCACGGAGACCTCCGACGCCACTTTCTTCACGCTGAGCATTCCAACTCTACCCTGAACGAGGGACGATCAGACCGTCGAACGTCCGGTCCAGAGAACCGGGAAATGAACCCACTTGGTTTCGCTCACTCTTCACTACCTCTTCCTGCTCATACTTAGCGTCGTACCCCGAATCGTACGCCTCTTGAGCGTCGTAGTACTCGCCGTCATATCCATCCGTCGTGTAGGGGCCCTCGCTGCGCGCAGCGACACCTGCCACGACCTCTCTCTTCATCTGAGACTTTCCTTGACCTCCGTCTTGATATCGACGTCGGCATTAGTCCGGCCTCTCTCATCTTCCTTAGTTTCATTGAACTGGTCGGAGTACGGCTCACACAGCACGTCCGTCTCCGAGCTCATACTAATAGTCGCCACTCCTCGCAACTTCACACCTCCGTCACTTCTACCAGGCGTCTGCTCCACTTCACTACGTGGATCCTGCGAGACTCTCACTCTCGCACCCCGCTCCAACCGTTCCACAGCAGCCGGAACCGACACAAGCTGCTCCTCCACGCCACCTTCAAGACAACGGTCGAAGACTCTCTCTTCTTCTTCATCACTAAACACTTCTCTCTCGACCATCGTCGATAGACTCAATTACCAATTCTTGTTCAATCCAAATTTCTCTTCTTCTCTCTGCGTCTCTTCCTCGCGACAGTTTTGCTGCACGGCATTAGTGACAATTTGCTATTTCCGTCGTTACAGGAAACCGCCTCAATTTCGGCGTCCCTGGAAGAGTTAAAGGTTAAAGATGCTCCATTTGCGTGGAATAGGTGGTATTTCGCCAGCTCAAGCGAGGGTTGATGAAGCCTCCGCTTTTAGTCTACCCGGATTACAAGAGACGTTTCATTCTTTACGTCGAATCGTCGCGATACGCCGTTCGAGCCGTCATGATGCAGGAAGTAGACGGTCGAGACCGTGTAGTGGCGTACGCTAGTAAATTGTTGACAGGGTCTCAGAAGAACTGGATCAACAAGCAAGATGGAATCTCGGTGACCGAGTGCTGGGGAGTTGTATGATCGACAAGAAATTGTCGATGTTACTTGGACAAGAGAGAGTTCGACTTGTACACTGATCATTCGGCTCTAACCTGCTAATCTTTAGACCTGGAAACCGTACTACGAACGCGAAATTGGCACGGTGGGCCACGGAATTGTCCAATCTACCGTTTAACGTACATCCCAAGACTGGGACGGTGATGGGGCTTGTAGCCGGTCTGTCGCGCCTGGAGCCGAAGCAATTGAACGTATTACGCATGACCGACCTTCTAAACCCAGCGAAAGAGAGCTTAGATGGCCTAGGCTCAGTCGGGGATCCGGTCGAAAGTCCCGCGGAGCCTGAGTTAGGGACGGAACCGGAGAATCCAGTGACGGGAACGGATTCGAAAGACAAGGAGAGCGGGACCGCCGAAGTGGTTCCCGAGTCTCCTACGGAAAGACGTCGAGCAGTTTAAGAACGAACAGAAGTATGTGTCTCGGATGAAAGCGCTAGTAACGTTCCTGTTGGATGGTGCTCTTCCGTTAGATCATTTCCTTCGAGCTCGCGTAGTGCGGATGGAGTTTTGGTATGTGATGTAGGACGGTCTGTTGCGTCGGTTTGTCAACTTACCAGCGCGAGTCGGTTCGTACTATTGCGGTGCTAGTGGTACCTCCTTCTTATGTGACGATGATCCTTCACTCTGTAACGTGGATATCATGTCTCATTTAGGATTGACTAAAACGACGGAAAAGGTTAGACGGCAGGCATACTGACCTGGCTGGCGTAAGGATGTGACCGAGTGTTTGTGAGAATGCAATAAGGGTGGCAGTGGGAAAGGTTCTCGACCGTGGAGCGGAGGAGTAATGCAAAGGATGCCAGTGGTTGGACTGAGGGGACGTTCGACTTGCTAGTCGTGGATGATATCGGACCATTACCTGTGACAGAAGGTGGAAACCGTTATATTCAGGTTTTCGTAGACTACTTTATAAGGTGGGCCGAGGCGTTCGCGGTGAAACGGCTAGACTCTGTGACTTTTGTAGATGTGATGGTGAATGGCGTCGTCGCTCGACACGGGCTTCCGTCCCGGCTGTTGAGTGACAGCGGCTCGACCTTCACGTCGGACGTGGCACAGTGCTTTTACCAGACGCTCGGTATCAATAAACGGTACGGTGCAGCGTATCATCCACAAACCCAAGGGCTTGTGGGACGGCTCAGCTGTCCTCGCATAGGGGTGCTGAGGATGCACGTGAGTGAAGCTCAGAACGATTGGGATGTCTACCTGCCACGAGTGTTGTTTGCCTACCGTACCGCCTACCAGAAAGCGCTAAGAGACTCCCCATTCTTCCCTTTGTAAGGACGGGACCCCGCGTTACCACTCGACGTAGCTTTTCTGAGCCTCGGAACGAAATGGAAGAGTAACGAAGTGGCCCAGTATCTAAGGGAACTGTACCGTTCGATGCGTGACTCTCGCCACTTAGTGAAACGTCAGCTTTTGAAGGCTCAAAACAGGCACGCTAGGCGGCCGGAGGATCAAGTGGAGACGACGAGCGAAGCCGGAGATCCCGCTTGGGTGTACCAGATTTTCAGGGCTAGGAGAGGTGAAACGAGGACGAAGAAACTCGCTTTCTCGTGGCATGGTCCTTACTGAGTCTCTAGCAAAGTCGGGGAGAACCCTAGCAAGGTTGTAATTTCCACTCATTTCGACAAGCTGGTAACCGTGAATGTGAACAGACTCAAAACGTATCGAGGTAAATAGACTCGACCGTTCCTGGATGAAGTACCGCCTGGCGCTGAGGAGACCGAAGTAGGAAGTAGTAATGGACCCCTGGATGAATCCGACCTCCCGCCTACACGTTTTGTGGAACGGTTAACGGTTGGTCGAGAAGACATGATATTAACAGGAGTCGAAACGCCTTTACTGGAAGTGGTGGCAAAACGGATTGTGAGCCGTGCCGTCGAAACCTTGGCTCTAGCTGCGAATTCCGAGACCTTCCGGCTACAAAACGGTTTTGATGCTGGCTTATGCCCGGTTAGTGATGTCTTATGAAGACGACGAAAGAAAGAAAAATGGGTTGCCTGAGCTGCGAACAAATACTCGGTTGGCCGACACTAATGCGGAAGTCGACAAGAACGTGTTACTTATCGTATAAGTGAAGTGGTGAAGTTTTCGAGTCAGCAAAGAACGGCTACTCTGTGGAGATTAGGACGGACACTCGGAAGTAGGGTGGTGGTGCGTGTTGGTGAGTATTTTATTATTTGGGGATATGGACGGAACGATCAGACTTACGAGAACGAAATAGAGAAACATTAAATCTTTCCTCTCAGCAATGGTAACCTCGTCACTTGGGAGTTAGAGAGTCGGGAGAAGCCGACGACAGCTTTGAGGTCTTGCTTGGCTTGTCACCTGCGTCGGACGCCACTCCGTTATCGGTAGAAGAGGGGTTTCCTGCGGCCTCTTCGTCGTCTTCCTCGTCATCTTGGTCGTCGGCGTCTTCGTTGGTGTCTTATTGGGCCTTTTTAATTGATTTCTTCGTCGTCGTGCTCGTTGCCTGGGTGGCCCTCTTCTTGCTCCTGGGCTTCTTCGTCGGATGAGAGTCCCAGGTAGTACGCTAGATGCTTAGTGGGAGAACGTGAAGGCTGATACTTGACAGGCGGGGAGGGTTGCAGGGCTGTCAACTCTCCGTTTTCTTCGAAGTCAGAATCGTCATCCTCTTGTTCGGACGTCTGGAACGGTCGAGCATTGTGCACTATCACGGGTTTGCCTGCCGTCAGCGTGGCGACTTCGGCTTGAGTCACACGGAGAGATCGGTCAGAGAGAAGCTTCTTCCACGGGCCACGGTTGCGGTTGCCGACCCAGCTCTCTTTCGGAGGTTTCCTGCCAGAAACGTTCAGAGCGACGCGAGCCAGGGCCTTGTCCGAACGTCGCAGGTTCTTGAGGCGCGTAGGGTCTATCGCTTGACTCGTCTCGAGAAGTTCAGGGATGGAACGGTAGCCGCTGCTGTCCACCTCGAAGGAATCGAGGGTGCTGGCGATAATTTGACCGTACCGACGGCGGTGACGCTTGAACAGGACCCCGAGGTCTTCTTGGGCTGGAGATTTGGAGTCGTCGCTAGCTCCACTAGTGTGCTTGGCAGGCCTGTCTCCGAACCACTTAAGATTGTCGGAGGGTCTCTTTAAACGCCGTCAGCATCCCGTAGTAGCCCATCCCTTCGAAGAAGGCGCTCAACAATTTCAGACGAGCTTAAAGCGCGCTTGCCTTCAACTTGCGGTGAGCGGCAGCGTTGTCAGGCGGCGGATACAGCGCGCGAAGTAGGAGCTAAAGCCAAAAACGCATCCAGAAGTGCGAGTGCTTCCGGTGGAGCTCGGGGTGGTGCTTGGGGTCGTACCAGACGCGGTAGCCCTTCCACGGGAAGGCCATAAGAGACGGCGTCTTACCCTGTCCCTCCAAGCTCTTCACGAGGCGCTCCAGGCCGCGCTCATGGTGGTGTCTACGCCGGCCGGTAGATCGAACGAGAAGCGAAGCTTGGCTTTTGCCTGCTTGGACGTACGCTGTTTCTTAGCTGGGGTGGCTTGAGAGGTGTACGCGAGCAGGAACGAGTTTGGGTGACCGGTGCTTGGAAGACGGCGTGCGCTCGGACCTGGCCGTCGGATATGCTTTCTGGGGAAGGCAAAAATACGACAGCACTCACCAACGGAGCCTGAAAAGTGTCGTTAGCGAAGGGCCGGAGGACCTGTCGGTCAAGGGCGTCGAGCCCGACGGAGTGGCTGTTGGTAGCCAGAACGGCTCGGAGGCGGCGCCACAACTCATTCATGAAGTGCAGAGGGATGGCGTCGTCAGCCGTCCTGTCTTCGTCGTCGAGGCGAGAGCGGTGTTGGTCTTCGACCGTTGGGGTCGTCCCGGACTTCTTCGATGACTTGGTCATGGCTACGTGGGGGGCTTGAGTGCAACTTGCGGAATTACCTTTAAGATGTCTGCCTCCTGCGATGCGACAGGGAGCTGCAGTAATAATGACAGACATGGTGGTTAACGACGTGAAGCCACAGTTTTGATGGTGAGATGAGGTGACTTGACCAAGGGACGGTCCCTTGGCTGGTGCGGAGCCAAGTGAATTGGACTGACCGTTAGTGGCGATGGAGAACGGTTGGTCCTTGGAGGTGATGGACTCATTCTTCGATTGTCGAGATTGGGCGATGGATTAGGTGAGAGGTGGTGTGGCGTGGAGTCAAGACGCTGTCGTGTCGACATGTAGTTTCGGAGTGGGACTGGACCTCAGGCATGCGTGGGTGTTGTTCGCTGGGGGGGGGGGGGGGTATCTTGGCTTGGACCGTCACCGAACCTCTCAGAGGTATGGTCCTGCGACTTTTCTCTTTGGGCGGTTACCTCATATACAAGTGGGCTAAGATGTTAAAACTTTGTATAACGCGCTATTGCAGCTTTTTGTGCGCAGTCCTGCCGTACAAGACCAGGTCTGGAGGACGAAATGGTGGAAGGCGTATGAAGCCGTACTGGCTTCTCCTATGGTGGTGCTCGCTGCGAGGAAAGAACACTTTGACGGTCAAGGGCGTCTACTGTACAAATGGTTCGACGCCTTGCATGCGTACTGGTGCGTGTTCTTACCTGAGGCGGTGACGTTGACGTGGAAGACGACAGTGAAGTATTGGTACGGTTCAGGTGCTGGGCTCCAAAGAACGTGGGCTCATACGTGGTTTGTTGTAGCTGTCTGGTGGACCGTGGTGACGCTGATCGTCTACGCTACTTTCTACGGTGTGCTGTTCCTGTACGAAATCGTCGAAGGTGTTTGTCTAGGGTGGCCTGGGGTAGTGATCTTAACGGTGACGATGGATTACACGTTTGCGAGTAATGGGGGCGTCGTGGAGTTAGGTGGGTCCTCGCTAACTGTGAGGCTATACTACTCGACGGTATGAGTATACGTCGGAAGGACGTTCGCCGCTTGCTGTGGCCCAGGTCTGCTACGACTGTTGGAGCCGTGACATGGAGGAACGAGAGCAAGCTGAACCGTCTTAGCGGAGCATTCTGGGGAGCGGATGGAGGTTCTGTGGAGACGCCTCGACAGCAAGTCCGCACGCAGACTGGGATACAAGCTGATTGACGGGCTTTGCGTGCTAATATGAGGGATTCGGATAAGGAATACTTTTCTAGGCGAGCTCGGCGAGGGCGTCGAGATTCTGTCAGGGAGGATGTCCCGAGTGAGAACGGTGGCAACCATCTTGGGAACGGTTCCCGTTCCCCCTCTGGAGTGACCTGCGATCAGCTAGAAGTCGCACGTCAAGAGGATGAGCGGTCGTCGGATCGCCCGAATCAGCTCTGACATTGTCGATTTCCGTTGTCCGAATTGGGGGCCTGACCCTGTCGCATGTACGTGAAGTGTGGAGAGGGAGCAACACTACTAGTTGAATACATCGTCTAAGATGCGGCTTTGGCCGAGGTACTGCCTGTCGTTACAGCGATGGACAAGGTCCATGGGTTGGACGACACTGACTACGGCAATACTGCAACATATGCGACGGACAGCGAAGCGAAGGGAGGTACTTTACCGGCAATAGCGTACCCAAGGACGTGGTGACGTGCTGTTCGACTAAACAGAGCTCGACATTGTTGGTGAGGTGCGTTTGGTCAGTCGTAAACTTTGCCTGGAAACCACGAGTTGACTTAATACATTTGACTTTATATTATTAATATTGCTACTTGTGTCGACCGGGATTACTATTTATTGCCCCGAACGTCTATAGCTCGCTACCGTTGATCAGCGCAAGCGTCCCGTTCCACGGTGATTTGCGACGACTGAACTTCACTAATCGCGTTCTGGTAATATTTGTTTGGGGCTTGTTGAGTAAGAGGCAAATGCCGAAGTGAGTAAATTTGTGCTTACCAAAACTGTCCAACATGTCTATCTAAACACTATCTATCTTTTGTTCCTCTTGTTGTCTTCTCGTTAGTGTGGCGTGGACAGGAATGCCATGTGCCTTCATCCAATCATAGCGTTCCAGCATGAGATTACCCAATGGCTTTTTAGAAGCAGTTCCAGCCAATCGTGGAACGGTACGATATCCGTTCCAACGGGTACGCTAAACCGTGTAGAGCCGGTGCAACTGCAACTTTTTCACGCACCGCTACTGCACGGTAGCCTGGTCCTTAATACCGATCGCATCGCACTGGCATGCCAGGACCTTCGTCATAAGTGCCTTCGTCTGCATGTCGGCCAGTTGGAACTTCATGTCGACATAGTCCACCTTGGCCGTTCCGCGTTCAACGCTCTCAGGAGTGAAGTGGTACCGGATGAGGTCCTTGCGTGGTATCCGACGCGCCTTCTTAGTGCAATTGAACTTTGGTTGTCCTCGTATATCTGCGTTTCTCCCACCCATGTCCTTAAGCATCGTACGTGTCCACAGCACCTCTTGGGTGCACAGGTTCATAGCCATGTACTCTGCTCCCGCCGAGCTGAGTGCAACCGTCCTCTGGTACTTCGATTTGCACACCACCAGTGCGTTCCCGTTCATAACCCTGACACCGTGAACGGAAGGTCTGTCGTCGATGTTGGAGCCCCAGTCCGCGTCGGTGTACGCTTGAGCCAAGGCATTCACGGAACGGCCTTGGTAAACAATACCGTGCTCACGCGTTGTCTTCAGGTAGCGAAGAACTCGAGCTACTGCCTTCCAGTGCTGTCGCCCTGGGCCCTGGAGAATACCGGGCAGCTGTGTCACCCCGTACGTAATATCCGGCCGAGTGCATGTCGTGATGTACATTAGACGTCTGACCAAGGAACGGCAAGGCTTTGACTACATCTCGAGGAGTTCCACTTCCGTCATAGGTGCCATATCCTTCGAGAACGTCAAGCTTGATGCGCACAGGCTCTCCGCATCCTTAGGGCTCTGCTGATTGAAGCGTTCTACAACGTCGTTGATATACCAAGTTTGCTTGCTCATAAGCGTTCCAGGTGACGTGTCGTGGTTGATTTCCATACCCAGGATGAATTTGGCCTCGTCAAGTTCCTTCATCCGGAAGGCATTCTTCAGTGCGTCCTTGACTTAACGGATCTTCTCTCGTGTCTTCGCCGCAATAATCATGTTGTCCACGTACAAGCACAGGTACACGAAGCCCTTCCTGAAACGCTTCACGTAGACACATTGGTCGGCACCACGGCACTTGTAGCCGCTCCGAATGAACACGCGATGAAATGTCTTATTCCACACGCTCGCAAGCTATTTCAAACCGTAGATTGCCTTATCCAGTTTGCACTTCATACCTTCAGCGTTCTCCAACCCGAGCGGGACGTCCCTGTAGACCACGTTCACTATGATACTGTTCAGGCTGCTCTTATGAAGCCGTATGTTACATATACCGCTAGCACCACACGAATCGGATTCAGTTTGCAACAAAAGATTATGTCTAAAAGAAGTCTATTCCAAACTTCTTCTTGAATTCCTCCGCTACCAGGCGTGCCTTGAACTAATGACTTGGCCGTTCCCGTCACGCTTCTTGGCGAACACCCAGCAACATCCAATCGGGCGTCCAGGCGTTCCACATGAGACGAGAGGCCACGTTCCGTTCCGAGCGTGAGACTGCAACTGTAACGGGGAACGTAGCCCCCCCAGTGTAACCCTAGTTACATGAAGTGTGACATGTCACACTTCGGGATATCTGGTACATGGTACCAGGGTCGTCCGGAGCCAACCATTGGCTGATGACATTGCTTTTCTATAGGTGACTCATATTTTGTTTATTTAACGCAAGCTTAGCCTACCTATACATATATTCAGTTTACAATTTACCTTAAATTGGTCACTCCGCTCCCTTAGGCAAAAAGGGACTTGTGAACTGTCGCTCACTGAGCGTGTGTATATTCTCGGAAGCCAACTTCCTCTAGCGCAAGGTGCTGTGTGAGCCCGTCACACTTGGTAGAACTTGTAGTAAATCCACGCCAACGTGGGTAGACTGCCTGAACCTCTCTGAAGTTCGTGCCATGGATAGGAACGACTTATCCGATCTGAACGACTCACAGTTCGAGTCGGTTCGGAAGATGGCTGACATGTTCGGGATGGACACCCTGCAGAACCTGGTGGCGTCAACACCGGCCGAGCAGCTCGAGCGTGTCAATGCGTTTGCCTCTTACGAGCAAGGGCTCATCGCACATGTGCGGGAAAACCTTCAGGCTCCGGCGGCGGGAACAAGCCCTTCACACCCGAATCCAATATGGCTGAAGGTGAAGCCGTACATAGGGAAGGAAGATGAGAGCCTTCACTTCTGGGTCCGAGAAGTAGAGCTCGCGATAAACGCGGCTCTGATCTCGACCGAGAAACGCCGCGTTGCTTTTGAGCTCTCCAACCTTAGCGGTCGTGCTAAGAGTTGGGTGTACACGCGGGAGGCGACATCACCTGGATGTTTCACATCCTGGGCTCAGCTGTGCGAACAGCTGCGAGCCGCGTTCTTCCGGACGGACTACGAGCACCGACAGCGTTCGCACTTCCTCTCATGCCAGCAAGGAAGGCGCGAGCTGCACGAGGTCGTCCAAGAGATACGGGAGCTCACGCGGTCCCTAGTGGGCGGCCCACTTAGCGTACGCATCAAGGTGACTGTGTTCATGGACGGCATTCGAGTGGGACCGGCGGTTCCGGGTGCAGTCAAGCACCCTTGAAGAGGCGATTTAAGTGGCTCTTCAGGAAGTATACAGCCCTCGGCAGGCGCGCACGCCGGCCTCAACATGTCCAGGACATTCTGTGTCGAATCGCGGTTTAGCAAACCCCACCGGACCGGCTCCCATTGAATTCGGGTCCGCCGAGCAGCGCTACATTCGTTGCTTCGGTTGGGGGAAGCCGGGGCACTTCAAGCGCAAACGTCCCGCGGAAAGACACTGCAGGCGGACTTTTCCCAAGCCCGTCCTCAAGGGACACTGGCAGAAGCCAGGATCCCGGGGACAGGGGGACGCTGGATACCAGTAGGGGCGGGGCGATCCTACTGGGGAAGGACTAAGTCTTCGTGAGGGGTTGCGGGTGACGCGCGCCACGGGTACCTAGCCCCTGAGGATCTTCGTACTCTCGAATCGGCGAAGAGCAGCGTCGGGCTACTCGTATTACACGGATGTGTACGGGGATTCGGTCGCCCCTTTAAAATCTAGATCGATTCTGGGGTGTCGAAGAATTTTTCACGCCGCTAGACGGTTGCTCGTAATAGCAACAAGTTGTCTGATGTTTTGAGAGAAAGCAAAGGCAACGGGGCGTTGTAAGTGAGATTGGCCGACTGGACGGTCGTCACTGTCCCCAACGTCCAAGTGGATCTGGCTGTCAAGTTGTTAACAGCCTAGAACAGTTTACAGTCTCGACATGGATCCCTACGATTTGATCGTGGGCATGCCCTGGCTCGAGAATCACGAGGCCTATATTACCCGGCGAGGCAAGGCAATCGGTGCCAGCCGCCCTGCAAATCCTGACAGAGCATTGGTGAGTCATGTTCCCACCTCTGTCAGGACCGGGGCGCCTGCAAGGTTTGCCAGGGTACCGAAGCATCCAGCAGATGCTTGGTAGCCGTCGACGTATATGAGGACCCCGAGGACGCTTCGGTGGTGGCGGCGCTAGGAGGCGCCGGCCAAGTGGGTAGCTTAGGTACACAAGCGGGAAACATAGTTCCGCAGACAGCTGCAGCTGTCACGAACGCTGGTAATAGCGTGTACAAGGAGGGTAACAGAGTTCCACACACGGTCGCCCACGCCTTTACTGAAGAGGACAACGTCGGATACGCTTCCTGAATCGGGAACACAGAACCACACGAGGTCGCCCAGACCATAACTAAGGAGGAAGACGCGGGGTGCGCTTCCTCAGTGGGTAGCATAGCACCTCGGATGTCGGAACCACGACATCCCCAGACGTAGTGGGCGAAGTTCCACGTCACGGTCGCCGTCGACGTCGCTTCAAGTGACTCGGTGTCGAGGGCCCGGGCTCCTCCCACACGGCCGGTGAAAGTGTGTTATCACATCTTTTATTCCGAGACCGGTTTACCCATCAAGGCATCTAGCATCCACTTGGCACCGTTGCCAGAGGTTGCAGAGATACTGAACCACGAGGACATGACGGCCGAGGCTTTTGTGGCCAACCCCAAGGTTAGGGAAGTTGCCGAGATGGTGCTCATAAGATCTGAGGGCACTCTTGAAAACTTGAGCTCCTCCTCTTTCTTGGGCAAGGACGCCCTAGAAGAGCTTACCAAACAGCGTCAAACACGCTTGGGTTCTAAGGTTCTAAAGAACCCCAAG